AAAGAGATACGTATACAAAGCAAAACTACAAGTTAGAACTCGAATTCAGCAACCAAAAAGTTTAAATAAGGAGGAACACTACCAACCTGCAATAGCCACTCATAGTAAGTTTTTCTCAGAAGAAATAAAGTGGTAGAGTGTTAAAATACCTAGAGTGGAAACAAAATATTTTGAAAGAAAAGTGCATGAAGATCAAGAGCTTTATGCACTTTTCTTTTAAATTTTCAAAATAAATGAAAAAATATGTATTGGTACATTATTGAAAGTTCGTACCTCGGTACTTCTTGAAAATAATGTTTCCCATTAAATGACAGAATTATTCTAGATTATGGGCAATTTGTTAAAACTAAATTTCGGACATTGTTTTTTACATTTTTCCGCAAGAAGTCATTCAATTGCTGACGTCAGGTAATTTTAAACTGTTTTTTAAACCCTCAAAAAAAATTTGTATAACTTTACAAGCTAATAATGCTGGGAACCATGATCCGACGAAAATATCTCATAGCAAATTGTTATTTGTATTGAGAAAACTCATATGTATAAGATACATTCATACATACATACATACATACATACATACATACATACATACATACATACATACATACATACATACATACATACATACATACATACATACATACATACATACAAATATACATACATACATACATACATACATACATACATACACATACATACATACATGCATGTATATATATATATATATATATATATATATATATATATATATATATATATATATTTATATATATATATATATACACATATATATATATTTATATATATATATATAATATATATATATGTGTATATATTATATTCAAAATATAATATATACATTATAAAACATTTATAATGTATATATTATATTCAAAATATAATATATACATTATAAAACTTTGTGTCTCACATCCCTTAAAAGTAAATAGTAAAAATTATTTACAAGTTTTTTATTTACAAGCAAAAATATTATAATACATGGCTGTTGTTTTTATAAATAACGGTATAGGCGTATATAATAATTAATAATTTTTAAAAAATAAGGATATGATAAGATATTAAAAATATCATAAATATTAAAAATAATGATAGGATAAGTTGTTGAATTTTACTTAGAATTTTAGATGAAAAAAAAGTCGTTGTATTGGAAAGTCGCGGCAAAACAAAATATTCAGTGTATGACAAAATTTCATGTGCATACAACTTTTTCAATATTTCTTGTTCCACACAAAATTATATTGTTAGAAAAATTATATTGTTTGTAATAATTATTACGCAAATTATATTCTTTATAATTTAAGCTGCTATTATTTTAGTTACGCAAATTATATTGTTATCAAAAATCTATTGTTTATAGTTTGTTAATACGCAAATTATATTTAGCTGCTGCTATTTATGTAAAACATTGCTTATCGAAAATGAATTATTCAGATTGAAACGTAACAAATCAATTAAAATAGGTAGTACGCTGCAGTAGAAATAGGTAGTACGCTGTAGTAGAAATAGGTAGTACGCTGCAGTAGAAATAGGTAGTACTACATATTTCTGCCGTATATCAGTTATTTAGAAGTAACTGAATTTTCGGTTACTAGGGTAAGGAGGGGCAAAATGAGACACTTAAGCACAAATTTATCTAATATAGGCCATCTAAGAACTTTCGAAAAAAGAACTTGATATTTTAAAATCTTTTACCATCCTACTATAACATATGAGTAGCAAAATTGTAGTGGTTTGGTCACCAGAGATCACTTATTGACAACACCTACCCTGTCTCATTTTGCCCCGCTATGTGGGGCGAAATGAGACAGGATAGTGTGAGAACAACTTATGTTCTCACACTATCCTGAGACAGGATAGAACATAAATTGTTCTCAAAAGCAGTCGGACCTCACCCAAAACTAAAATGAGAACAACTTATGTTCAATCTGTATATATATATATATATATATATATATATATATATATATATATATATATATATATATATATATATATATATATATATATATATATATATATATATATATATATATATATATATATATATATATATATATACTTATATAGATTTTATATTTTTTTATCTATTTATTTAACCAAAATATTGAAAACATTTATGTATAATCTACAAAATGAGGTTCGGTGTCACTTGCATAGTTTATAATTAGTCATTGGAGGGACACCTTAATAAAATAAACAAATAAAGCAAAAAGAAAAAAAAAAAAAAAAACAAGCAACAAAAATTAATAATATAGATAGTTACCAAAAAATAATTATAACAAAAAGGAGAATAATAAATATTTAAAAAGTCAGAATAATAACAATAAAGGAAAAAGTGAATGAGCTGAGTTGAGAGATAATGAATGAATGAGATAACACAACGTTTAACGATCAGAAGGGTGATTGAAAATAAAAAATAAAACTAAAAGATATATTTAAATATTATAGACAAAAAAATATGAAATCACTTGAATAGTAGCAGCAAATGTAAAACGCAACAATAATAAAAATAATTAGCAACGAAACTACAACAACAAAAAAAAAGCTCAACAATATAAACAAATTGCATATGAACACGCCAATATAAACGATGCACAAAATTACATGACAGTATAAACAAAAATAGAAATATGCAACAATATAAACAATACACAAAAATACACGACAATTTAAACATTCAAACAACATAAATTATTAAAACTTAAAAATTGCTGTTTTTGTCTGCTCTCTAACTTTTTGTTTGCTTCTTAAAGTTTTTTATTTTTAAAAATCTCAAAAACGTTTTTTTTAACTTTGCTTTTAGTTGTTCTGTTTGTTTAATATTTTTCTTCAATTTATATTCTTTAAAGTTTTAATTGTTTTCACTTCATTAATTTTTTGTAAATCTTCACTTCTAAGTAATTTTTATATATTTTTATTTTTTAGCTTTTCACTGTTAAAAAAAAACTACCGTCATTTGCGAAACACATAATTTACTAATAAGTCAAATTTTATTTACAATTTTATTTAGACATTATTTTAAATTTGCGATTGACAGTGTATTTATTTGAGATTATTTATTTGTTTTGTAATACAGGGGTGGATCCAGCACTTTTTGGTCGTTGAGATAGCTAACTTCCAGACATGGAGAAAACTCCAAACATTTATATGTTTATACTTAAGTCAAATAAGGATGCTTTGCAAAAAATTGCGATGATTGGAGGCTGGAAACAAATAAATCCCAAAAGTTTCACCCCCCTGCCCCAAACGTGAGAATAACAAGTTAATGAAATATTTTTTATACTATTTTCAACTAGACTTATATTTATCAATAAATTTTAAATTTCATAGTAAAATATTTTAGCGTTCAAAAATTATGACTATATAAAGTTTAAACCCCCCTCAATTTGAGGGGGCTGCAAATTTTATATGGTCATAATTTTTGAACGCTGAGAGATAATACTATGAAACTTAAAATTAATCAATGAATATAAGTATAGTTGAGAATAGTACAAAAAATATTTCAGGGAGGGGGTCATAAAAATGCCATGTTTCAAAATTTTATCACACTTAGTTATTATTCATGTCTCATGAATTATAACTGTGAAAAAATCTTGTTTTAAAATTTTAGAAAAAAAATTTTAATTAAATACTTTTATTACAACCGTTGTTTACCCGATACTATTTATTGGCCATGGCTAGAAAGTGGATTACATAACCGACCAGTAAATGGTATATCAAGAATGGTTTAATTTAGATCAGTTGAAACATTATTTGCGAAACAATAGTTGAAACATACGAAATAAGATAATTAGTTTCAGAAGATTGACCATTTTATTTTTGTCTGAAAAAAATGTCAATAAATAAAAAAATGATTACAAACTTAGAGTTTACAAAAACAAAAAAATAAAATTAAAATTCTTTTTTTTATTTTGATGTCGTAAAATTCTTACTTTTATTTTGATGTCTTACTGATTGAAACGTTCTAAAACATACCAAAATGGCGTTATTTACAGAGTCTTTATAAAGACATCGAGTTTATAGTTTTTATAAGGACATCAAGTTTTAAATATTACTGTAACACAACTAGCGCCACTGCTTTCGAGGAGAAATGTTCAAAGAGTGGCCAGTATATGGTTAATGGCCAGCAATTGGCGAAGTTACTATAATTCTCAAAAAAAGAAAATAAAGAATAACTCATAGTGAAATAGCGCGGACAAAATCAATTGGCACTAACTTTTGAGGAAAAATTTCTAAATATAAAGAATTTAAGTTTGTAGTACCAAACACATATTAAGCTTTGCAATGGAAATTTTACAGCATAAAAATCGATTACTTCATGTTTTTAAACCATCAATACAATTTCTAAATGTTTTAAACCATCAATACAATTTCTAAATAACTGTTGAAAAAGAATATTATAGCATTAGAATACTGACAGTGCATAGTCGTTTTTTTTTTTGTTGATTTAGTAAATAATGTATTCTTGTGTTAAAAAAAAAAAAAAAAAAAAAAAAAAACCCACAAGATAATTTTGTTATTTTGCAGATGGGTTTAAATGATGCATTTAACATGAATTAACAATTATAAAATATTTTAATAAACAGATTTTATAAATAATTTTCGTTTTTTGTTTCTACAACGAATACTTGTGTAACTAAATTGCTTAATCATAATGCTGCTGTAATATATTTTTTATAGAATTTTTATAATAAACACATTTTAATAAAATAATAGAATTTACAAAAATAAGTAAAAAAAAATCCCTCAAAAAAATATATTAAAAAATAAATGCAATAGATCAAAACTTAAATAACACAACCTAGAACATAGAAACATAGAAATGCATGAAATTTTAGACGATAGAAGAAATAATTTGTTATTAATTTGAAAAACGTTATCTTATAATCGTTAATAAAGATGAATCTAAAAGATGCTGAAGTAAGGAAAAGGTTTTCCTTTTCCAAAAAACGCCAATTTTTCGGAGTTTTTTTGAATTGTCTAAAATATATATTCTCTTGAACTTTTAAAGATTGCCAACGTTAATTTTATAGAGCTCCTTAAGCTATACTCCGAGTCGTAACATTGTTATGTCGTAATCGTCGACACAGTAATTATTATGTCGTAATCGTGACACAGTAATTATGATCCATAAAAATCATAAAAACTTTCTTAATTATCGAACAAAACATCTTGTTCTTCAATAAGTAATTGGATTATGCGTTTCTGAAAGTATATATTTCCTACTGCCATGAGAGCTAAGTGATCTGGAGGACGCATTAATGTCGGGCCAAATACAATTCCAAGATTTTCTGATGACATCAAATTTTTATCTTTATATTTTGACAACCTTGAAGAAAAAAAATTATGTAAAAAATACAAACTAATTAAAAAATGCATAACTACAACTAATAAGTATAAAAAATAACAAATAATAAAAGAATATTTTGTAATTATGAAAACGTTATTAGATATGAATAGTTTCCTTAAACTATTTTAATTTTTACACACTTTTTAAAGCCTTCTTGCCTCTTTTTATCACATTTATGCGTGATTATTTTAAAGCACGCTTAAAAGTTAAAAACGGCTGATACTAAATTTTTTAGCATCTATAATTACATTATATATATTTATAATTTTATGCAAAAGTTTTACTGACAATTTTTTTATAAATTTGATAATAAAGCTAAAAATTCATTAACTTCACAACCACTATAAATAATGGCGTTGTGCTAAAGTATAGCTTTTAGCACCAATATTTTTTTTTGGCAAATCTTATTATTAGTCCATTAATTAAAATTTAATTAAGTTATAAAATAATGCTATATTTAAATAAAGTGAAGTTAAATAATAGTGCTATAATTAAATAATGCTGTTAATTACAACTTAATTTAGTAATAAAATCTCATTAAGTAGCTGAATGTCTTAATGATGATATCTTAGTAAAATGGCTTCATATTTAAAAACACAATAGTTGTTATTACTCAATGCAAATAAGAAATAGAAAAAACAAACTCGTTAAATAAAAAAAACGATAATTTAAAACAAATCCGATTGGTTGTTAGTGGCAAACCAAAAAACTTTTAATTTATGCAAACAAAGAATTCGTAAATAATTGCAAAATATTAAACAACCAAAGCGTTTGTTATAACAGTTTTGCAGGAAGTATATCAATATAACTACAAAGACGTCTTGAAGTGTTTGTTTGACATAAATTATGAGTTTGTCGGTAAAATGCAAACTGCGAACCCCGAACTACGAACCGGTAAAATGCGAACTTTTTTGCGAACCAAAACATTATATATTAAAGACCATTATTGTTATGATAAAAATAATAATAAAAAAACTCTCCAATTCTTAATCATCTATTTTAAAACTTTATTTAAAATAAACTTTTTACTTTTTAACTGTAAAACATGGGCAGAATGTTGCTACATCGACTATCTTATATCCTGACTCGCAACGGAGTGCTGCTAAATCGACTGAGGGTTTGGTTTGTGCAGGCAATCTATCAAATAATTAAATAAAAAATTTTTTTGTATTGTATTTATCTAGTTTCACTTTATTTCCTTTTATTTATTTTAATTAATTTTTTAAAAGCCCTTAAAATATTCCGTTAAATGAACTATTTAATGGAAATAAAACAGTACATCATTAACAACTAATAGGACGATGGTTCGCAACAAAGTTCGCATTTTACCAGTTCGCAGTTCGCGATTCGCATTTTACCTAGTACCAAATTATGAACCTAATTACATTTTTAAAAAATGTTACTTTTAAAAGCAGTTGGAATAAATTATATAATATATATTTCATTTGGCGCTGTGCTTACAACAAAAAGTATTTATCTTAATACATAAGTGAAGTTATAATAACTATTTGTATCGACTTAGTGTTCAAAGATATAACTGTTTTTATAACAATAAGTTAAAAGTAACTTATGTTACTTATAAATAATTGATATAAAAATAAAAGAAACCAAGTGTCAATTAAAGTTTACCACTGATATAAAAACGAAACGAGTTTAAAAATGGAAGTAATTTGTTTATAAAGTTTACCGCCTCTGTTTTTTAATTGTTTACGGAATAATCTATTATTTCAAAATGGCCGAATAAGTCCGAGTTTTTCAAAAAATGATACTAAATACCGAAAACAGTTTTTTAAATGGGGCTAAAAGTTATGACTATTTATGCAAAAACGACTTTGGTAGAAAAATTAACACTATCATAGTTTATCTGTAGCCGTATTCTCATCTCTCCGTGAAGCTTAACGGAGCTTTTATCTGAAATTTCATTACAATATTTCTAAGTAAAGGAAGACGAAAACCTTATTTAAAGCTTTTAAAATAAAAATAATAGTAAAATAAAACATTTATTTAAAAAAATATATATTTTTAAAGAACTTTTTTGTTAATGTAGTTAAAAAGAAATTTTCTATTAACGCTCCGTTAAGCTTAACAGAGAGATGAGAATACGACTCCTGAATCTAACGTGACATTATTGTTAAACATACTCATTTAGGTGTGGTATTGAAAATAATAACTTCAATTTTCATAAAAAAATGGTTTTTCATGGATATTTTCCCAAATAATGTCTGATTAGAAATGTCAAGTTACATTCATTGAAAACAAACACCAATACGTGATTTTGAGGAAAAATCAAATCCATAGACTTATCTATAGCCAAGCCCCAAGGTACTTTATGTTGAAAACTGCATCTTTTCTAAATAAAACTACGCTTGACGATTTGTTATAGTCGCATTACTTTTACCAGATTATAATAGTGGTTAAAATAATCATTCCATACATACCAAATGTCATACTTTTTGATGAAAAAATTTATATATATTGTAATTGAAAAAACATATTTTTGTTCGGAAAAACGTGTATCAATCCTTAGTTGCATTGAGTAGGTTGGTGAACTTTAAAAAAAATTGCTAAATGTCAAAAATGTTTGAACTTAATTAAAGCTTGAAAATTTAAGGGTAGATGAAAATTTAAGGGAAGGCGAAAATTTGAGGGTGGGTGAACTTTTGAGGGTAGGCAAAAATTAGAGGGTAGGTAAAAACCCCATAGACTTACTCCACAAATGATTTATTATACACTTTTAAATAATTTAATAAAAAAATGTAAGCAGATTACCGTTGCAAATGTCTGCACAAATATTTCAATGTTTCGTAATGAGCTGGAGGTAATTCTTTTATAGCACTACTCAATGATTTAATTTGTTCAAACGCATTTTCTTGCTCTGAAAAATTTTGAAACTCAATATTAATATAATAAAAACTTTTGAAAATAATGCACCAAAAATGAATTTTTTGAATAAAAAACTACTCACTAATTGCTTCAATAAACTTATCATAAAGATCAAACGTTATTATCGGTATCGGTAACATACGAAGATAGAGTTTTAGCAAACCACATAAGACATTGACATCTTTTACTCCATTTTGAGTTATATCTGGTAATGTGCCATCTAAATCAAAGCTTAAAATTCTAAAAAGGCATTTCAGTAAGAAAATTTCACTTATAAATACAATATTACTAAAATTATGATATACTACAGCGCATGACATAGTTGATCAGTATTTTATCATAAACAGAAACTATGATGTACAACATCATAGTTTATCACAACTATCGTGACAAACAAGATCATCATCGTCATTAAAACTTTGAAAGGAAATGTTAAAAAGATTTTTGTTCTTTTTATTTTATCTGCAAAATTTTTGTTACAACTTTTTAAAAAAAATTTTCTTCACTGCTCTTGACTGTTTGATTAAACTGTTAAACAATTATCTGAATTCTAAAATGCATCCAACCTTTATAAAGATAACTTTTATGAAAAGGTTTTTATCAGTAAAGGTTCCCAAACCATAGTAACCAAAAGTATAAAACTAAACTTTTTATTAGAATAACAATTTTAATATAAATATGTATCATAATTTTTCAATAAAATATTGTGTATGAAAAATGCTTAAATTTATTATTTTAACATGATGTAACAATACGCCAGTAATCAGGGATTATTATTAACAAGAGTTAAAAATATGCCAGTAATCAGGGATCTTTGATATAATTTTTGTATACTTTTAATTTATGAACATGAAAATCATTGACAATTTAAAATTTGATTAAAAAATCATCTAAAACTTAAAGCTAAAATAAAGAGGGAAATAATGAATTTTAAAATAAAAATGGGAAATATTAAATTTTGAAATAAAGAAGGAAATATTGAATTTTAAAAGTTGCCTAATAATGGTAATAAACTATTGATAAAATTTAAAACAAAGAGGTTTTTTTTGTTGTTTGAATTTTAATAGTGTTATAAATATAGATTTTAACTTCAATAATTATGATTTTTATGTCCTCATTTGACAGAAGTATGAGCATACAAAAATTTAACATTTTTATTGTCTGAAAGTTTACATAGCTACAACTCTACTTTATGTTTCATTCTACCAAACAAAATTTGTTATGACTAACAACATTAATTAATGTCTTATTCTACCAACAACATTTGTCATGATAAACCAAACAGATATCTCATATCATTTTTTATTAATAAACAGTAAAAAGAGTAACAAATCAAAACAAAATTGTTCACAAGCTAAAAAGGATCAAATGACAACTCCAGCGGCAATAGTCGTTTCAACTGTCAATACAAATACAACTATAGTGGCAAGAGTTACTTAGAGACCTATCAAAGCTTTCATTTTTCTTTTAAAGTTAAAACAAACAATTTTCAGTTATTGACTGGATATTATTTTTAGGTTTAATTGTAAATGTCAAAAAATGGTATTTAGATAAACACCATACAGATAAAAAAAAAAACATTTTTTTTTTTCAAATTTCTTATTTTGCTTTCTTTTTTTCTTTTTTTTAATTTTTTATTTGAGATTTTGTATTAAATTTAAGGATTTTTTACTTTTAAAAACAAAAATTTTTAAATAAAATAATTTTAAACATTATTCAAGATCTTGCATTTAAGGCTTTCTTGCATTTCAACTGTTTTTATCAACTGTAGCTCTTTTCAAGGCATTATGATTTGATGATATTGTCATACTGTTGTTTTTCTCAGCCTCAAATGGAAACATAGCAGTATATATTTTAAGTTCATTAATTATTTTTCTAAAACAATAACTTTAATATTTATTTCTTGAATTTCAAAAATAGTTTTTTTTTAGAAAAAAAAAAAAAAAAACTTTTTCATTCTTTTTGCCCAATTTTAATTTAGATTTTTAAAATAGCAATTGTTGATAACTTTGACAAGAGAAACTGATGAAAAATTAAATCTTCCATATCAAGGTTTTCATCAAGATGCATTTTGTTTTCATTTAATGGTAGCCTGGACATGAGATGAAAGCAAAAGAATTTGTGCAACAGATCAAGAAGATGGTGAGAATTTGAAAACTTCCAAAGAAGTCCAACCAAACTTTTTTGATGAATTTTTCAAATTCATCAAAAAGTTTTGTGTTAGGTTTAAAAAAACAAACAAACTCTTGTTCTCTTGCATTGAAGACTTTTTTATGATTAAGATTTTTTGAGTTAAAAACTTCAGGAGACAAACATGAAGCTCCTTAAATAAAAATATTCTTCATGAAAAAAATGACTGCATAAATCATTTATTACATTTTCCAGTAATTTGCATAAAAAGAGCAATATTAGATTGTGATTTTGAAAAGTGATTAAGAATGCATTTGGCACAATTTGGCACATTCGACAACGCTATCATTTTTTAATCCATTGGTGTGCACCTGTTTTTGTCAAAAACCCATTAGTGTGCACTTGTTGTTGTCAAAAATCGATTGGTGTGCACTTGTTGTCAAAAATGCATTGGTGTGCAATTGTTACTATCAAATATCCATTGGTGTGCATTGTTGTAGTCAAAAATACATTAGTGTGCACAATATTTTAAAGGGTAGTTTGAAAAAGTAAAAACTGTTAGACACTTATAGTCAGCTCTGCAGACAAAAATATTTTATACAAAAAGAAAAAAAAAAAAAAAAAAAAATGTTTTTAGTAAGTTTTTAGTCTTTTCTCCAGTTTGGAAAAAACAATGCATGGATGCTATGTCAATATTAATTAAAGGTAAATCATAGCTACTCAGTAAAGCAATAGTTTGTGCCAATGCAAAAATTGTTTTTTTATTACTGTTTAAATATATTTTTGAAAATAGGCGATCAGGAATAAATAATATTTTAACAATTTGCAATAAATTTGCAGCCTATTAATTATTAAAAAAAGATTTTTAATAGTTTCATAGGCTGCAAAATCAAGTAATGCTGTGCAAAAACCATTTTTCAAACTTATTTTATTTAAATTTTTTTTTGGGACTTGTTTAAGAGATATCAGATATTGCTTTCCACTACATTACTTTGTAGTCTTTAGCAAATTGTTGATTGTGTAAATAATTAAATTTTAACCATAATTTTCCTTTGCTTAATAGAGGTTTCTTCACTTTAAATAATATAAAAAAAGTTTTAAACCAAGAAATACTTTTAAAACACCTACTCTAGTAAAACACCTACTCAGACAAAGTAAAACATGCCTTGTAAACTCTTCATAAATTATTTTAAACATTTTTTTTCCTGTGCACCTTTTTTCTCAACAACAAAACATACTTTTGTTTTATTACGCATAAGTATTCAACAACTTTTCAGACTCTGACATCTATACGTAAGTAGTTGAATTTAAGTGTTTGAATTTAAGCTGAATGTCTGAGTTTTTTATGATATTTTTAATTGATTCGGTATGTCCAAGCTTTATCATTACTTTTATCAATTTTATAATTTTTCAAGATTTTTTCACTTTTTTATATGGTATTTTATTTTGGTTTCTCTGCCATTGTATACATTAGCAAGGTTTTTGTATTTTCTAGTGAATACATAATTGGTATATATATATATATATATATATATATATATATATATATATATATATATATATATATATATATCAACTATGTATTCACTAGAAAATACAAAAACCTTGCTAATGTATACAATATATATATATATATATATATATATATATATATATATATATATATATATATATATATATATATATATATATGTATATATATATATATATATATCTTCAACCCATAGAATTAAAAAAATTGAGGTCAGCAATAATTTGCCGACCTCAATCTTTTGGAGATCGGCATCAGGTTGGCAAAAAAATTTGATACATAGGTCTTACCATAAAACATCAAAACGAGGTTGGCAATTTTTTGTCAACCTCAAACACTTTTAGGTCGGCAGTTAGGTTGGCATTGCGGAATACCAACCCTAATTCCGAGGGTTGTATATATATATATATATATATATATATATATATATATATATATATATATATACACACAGCTACTACAACACTCTGAGCAGAAACATAAAAACAAAAAACAAAATGCTTTTTTTTTCCTCCCTAAATACTCACACACAACCAATCTCCTCATACAAAATGTCTTATAAAAAGTTATAAAAAGTAAATAAGAGATCTCATAAAAATGATTTAATATATTTTAGTTACATTTTGAGATTTTCCTAAAGTGCTTTGTTATTACTAGTCAAGACACTTAACTAGAATGCTTAGTATTAAGCGCACAGCAAGCAGTTTTAGAGATTTTATAATTAAAAAAAAAAACAATTTAATGATTTAAAGACTACAAGAAATCATAGAGCACTGTAAAAAATACATTTAAAAAACTACATTTTTAAAATGTTGTGTGGAATGTCAAAAACCACTGGAGAAGATTGTTTCGACCATAGAACTAACTTTAATCAACTGTAGTGAACTGTATAGGTATTCAAAAAGCTCTTACGATAGCTAATGAAATTGGTGTTCTGTTTCAACACATAATAAAAATCAAGAACATTTTATGCCACAGAGAAAAAAAGTACAAAAGATAAAGATTTTTATTATCCTACTCATTGGACTTTAGAAAATCTAAAATTGATAATATACTTGTGCAATAAAGTACATATATATATATATATATATATATATATATATATATATATATATATATATATATATATATATATATATATATATATTATATATATATATATATATATATATATATATTCATAGGTATATATATTCATAGGTATATATATTATACATATAAATATATATATATATATTTATATGTATATATATTATATATATATATTTATATATATATAATATATATACATAGCGGTTCCTCTAAACTGCTTTTAGTTTTTCTAAAGAGCTTTTGGTTTTAGCACGAGCTATCTGTTTATTCATTAAAAGTATTGGTTATTAAATACAAAATTTGGTTTTATACTTGTTACAAGCTTATGTTTGTAACGTTAATGTTACAACAATATATAGATAACATTTATTATTAATATATCATTTATTACACCATGAAAAAATTATTTAGACAAGCATTGTCATTGGGTTTTCACATTAGCTACCCATTTATTTATTAACAACATTACTTATTTCATAAAAAATTTGAAAACAAAAAAATGACTGTGTTTTTCATTTTAGTTACAATCATAATTATAATTTTGAGAGAAAAAATACTTTTGGGAGCCATAAATTGCTACCGTAAACTGTTTTAGGGGAGTTTGGGCATAAGCTAAAGCTCTCGCTGCCTGTACATATATATATATATATATATATATATATATATATATATATATATATATATATATATATATATATATATATATATATATATATATATATATATATATATATATATATATATATATATATATATATATATATATATATATATATATATATATATATATATATATATATATACACACATACATAGAGTGCTTAACATGAGGCAGCATGTCATCCTGACACCTTTTTATTAGGCATATACTTTTTTGCCACATTTTTACACTTTTCTTCATATAACTATGATTAGACAGGATGGCATTTTGAAATGACTTAAATCAAAAGCTAAAGTTTAATTAAACTAAATTTATTTAATTTTAGAAATTTTAGCTAAAATTAAAAGATAAAATTTTAAAAAAGAATTTAAGATAATATTAAGTATTTTAAATAATTAACATTAATTAAAAGCAAATCTACCTTTATCTATGCAATTTTGTAAATAGGTTATATCATCAGCATAACCTGGAATTCGATATAAACCTTCAACTTCCATGCCTCGTTCCTCAATCTCTCTAATACAGGAATCTATTACCTGAGGTCTTTTTAAATTATGGGCCTTAATTAAAGTTGTTAGATCAACACCAAATACTCGTTTGACAAGTTTTTTATCTGGTGAGCATTGATTAGGAACGGCTTTACTGCACTGTTGGTGACAATCATACGAACAGTCTTTAATAAATATTTACAAGCATTAAAGTTATTTTTCTCATATAATTCATTTATAGTTAATAACAACACTAAATAGGAAATAAGAAATTTATAAATTGATTACTTTTAACTTTTAAATTTACTTAAAAAATATTAGTTAACAAAAAAACATTTAAATAAAAATATACATAAAAAGCAATAAAAATTTATATAAAAACTTAAAAAAAAAAAACAATATATATATATATATACATATATATATACATATATATATATATATATATATATATATATATATGTATATATATATATATATATATATACACATATATACATATATACATAAATATATATATATATATATATATATATATATATATATATATATATATATATATATATATATATATATATATTATATATATATTTATATATATATATATATATATCCTTATAGTGTAGTCGAAAGAGACTTTTATGGTAAAAAAAAAGTCCCTTTCGACTACAATTTTTTTACCTTGTCTCTTAAGCTGCATTTTATTGTGGTCGAAATGTCAAAGCAATTAAATTAATGCGGAAGTACATTAAATTTTATTGTTTTTTAAAAAAACCGCAATAATAATGACTAGAAAGTTTTTTTTAATTAGTGGTGTTTTTGTTTTTGCTTTATTAAAAAAAAATTTTAAAACATGCGTAAGTGTTGCTACATTGACTATCTTATAGCCTGCTGCTACAAGGGAATGTTGCTACATCGACTATCTTATAGCCTGACTTGCAACGGAGTGCTGCTACATCAACTGACAAATAGTCTGACTCGCAAGGGAGTGCTGCTACATTGACTGACAAATAGCCTGACTCGCAAAGGAGTGCTGCTACATCAACTGAGGGTTTGGTTTTGGCAGGCAGTCCATCATTTAAAAAAAAAAAATTTTTTTTTGAAGTTTTTCAACATTTTCTGGTCAGGCTTATTAACGCGCTCTTTAAAACAACAGTATATGGGAAAAACTTTGTGACTACCATGCAAGAATATATATATATATATATATATATATATATATATATATATATATATATATATATATATATATATATATATATATATATATATATATAGTATAGTATAGTATAAAATGCATATGAAGCATGAAAATTTTTTAACACATTTAAAACTAATAAACCTAATAATAAAGACTAATAAACTAATAAAGAATAGATTTAAAAACAATGAACGAACAGCAAAGACTATGTAGAGTATTAACAACAAAAAATAATGGTAATTGAAAAAAAACAACGCTACCTTGACAACGAACTCCTTGAGATTTTAAACCCCACATAAAATTTTTGCAATAATCACACCAATGAGGTCCGTAGTATGTCTGTGTCTAAAGTTAAAAACTAAGAGTAAAAAATATAGAACATGATTTATGAAAAACAAAAAAACATTTTTGGAAAAGCATTTAAAAAAAAATAAAATTATAAGCTAAAATATTTAATTTATTGCTAACCCATTTAATATTTCCAAATACATTTTTATTATTTTTTTTAATTGTAAAAATTATAATGTTTAAAATCACTGAATGTTTATCGATGAAATTTATTAGGTTTAAAAACAAAAATTTATATAAGTATATTTAAAAAACACTTTTTTGATCAATGTAAAAATAACTTTTTTTTTTGCCCTAATATGTAGATACTGTGAACATAACTCAAATCCTCAGTTGAGAAAATCTAATGACAAACAGTTATTTCAGTATATCATCTGTAATGAAGCTTGCAGTGGCTGGTAAACTTTGGCTCAAACAAAATTCAGTTGTTTACTGCTGGCAATTATTGCAAAGTTGTTGATAATAATGAATGGTAACACTATTAACAAGCCCTCTACTTTACATCTTTTCGGATTATCATTTACTATTGACCTCTCATGGAAACCATGCATAAAATCTGTTGCAAAGTTAGCACCTGGTATGGTTGGCTTTCTTTATTGTGTTATTCTTGTATTGAATACTGTTGCCATAGATAGGCTGGTTATTTTAACTAGGTTCTTTTGCTTTTTAACAAGGTTCAAAAACAAATTAAGTTATTAGATCTGTTCCAGCTTCCAAAGTCGAGCCTCTGTTCCATTGTAATAAAGTTGTATCTATTTCTCTTTTCTAGAAATACTAAAATGTTCACTGCTCAAGCAAGCTATCATTACTTGCTCCATCAACCAAAACTCAATCTAGCGCGGCTCATCATTCAGCAAAGTCACATTGTTTTACTCTAACTGTTCCTTCATACTCTAAAAACTTTTATTTATCTTGTTTTTTTCCTGGCATGTTGATGCTTTTAAACTCTCTCATACCTTAATTTCTAGAATTTACAGTTTTTCAAGTCAAGTTATTTAAGACTTTTTTCAATCACTCAAATTTTTAAGTCTTCTTTCACTCATTCTCATGCTCTTTAATTCATTTTGTGTTTTGTGTGTGTGTGTGTGTGTGTGTGTGTGTGTGTGTGTGTGTGTGTGTGTGTGTGTGTGTGTGTGTGTGTGTTACAATAAACACCATCTTCAAAATAAAACTAAACAAAATTGAATGTTTTTCTCATAAAAACTTTTTAAAAAACCATTTAAATACTTTTTTTTTGTCAATATTATCTTTTACATCAACATCAAACCTGCATAGTCACAAAGATGCAAACTTCACAAGGGTGCAAACTTCACAAAGGTACAAACTTGTAGTTTGTATGCTAATAGAGCGTCTTCATAATAAGTAAGAACTTTATTAATATAAATTTGATAAAGTGATTTTATTGTGTCTTTAAACTGTGTTGTACATGTGTTCTTTCTAACAAATAGACTCAGTTGTTTCAAAGGAAAGATTTAGTTTACATAAAGCAAAAAAAAAAAAAAAAATGCTTAAAATACCTGTTAACTGTTTTAAAATAAAATAGAGAAAATTGCAAAAAATGTTAAATTAAGTTTTTACAGCAGTAAAATAAAATAATAATTGAAAAAGATGGAAGTTTTACTTACAAAAGAAGCAACAACAAACATGCTGAAAAATGACATGCAAAGACAGGCATGCTGTGAAAATATACCTTGATACAATGGAAGAATATTACAAGCGATCAATTTACATCCCTCTACTTAATGCACTGATATTGGACATTAATACACATTTTCCTAATGAAAATTTGCAATGCCTTTAAATCTATTATTTAATGCCAAAAAAATCTTACACTGAACCATAAAGATGTTGTTGAAACTGTTTCTGTAATCAGAAAATATATATGGCATCATTATTGGACTTAGTAATCAAACAGGTTTAATCAAAATTAATGAAATAGTTTCCCAAATATAGAAAGTTTGTAAATCTACTGCAAAAAGATCTAAGCATTTCCACTTTCTATTATTAAATAAAGAGTTTTAGAGCTTCCTTTATGCGAAAGCAGAAAAAATGCTTAGGATTAGTTTATTTAAAATTTTCTAGTTTTAAGACAAGTAAAAAAGTTACTATGTTTTAAAAACTTATTAAATACGTACTTTGAAATTATGTTCTTTAGCAACTTCTGAAGCTTTAAACGATGGTTTTTTTACTCCTTCATTCTAAAATATATTAAATGCATATTATATATACATATATATATCATGTAAAAATAACCAAACAAAAAAAAGACCAACCATTGGGAAAAATATTTTTTTTTTTAATATTAATAACAAATACAGTAGACCTTTTATATTAAAGCTTTAACCTTAAGAAAAACAATTTACTTGTTATAAGAACTACCTAAGTACTAAGAAAAACATTTTACTTGTTATAAGAACTATCTAGGTACTTGTTACTTTCACTGGGTACAAATTTAATTACTTTCTTTTTTAACTTTTTATAGAATATAACATAAAAGAGTTTTTATATATTTAAAAAAAAGCCTGCTTGTTATTAACATTAACAATGACAAAAACATTATAAAAAAACATATAAAAAGTCTTTTTTTATATGTTTTTTTATAATGTTTAATTAAAAAAAATAAATTAATTCTAGCTCTTTAATTAAGATAATTACTTTTCACACATTTGGAAAGAAATTATCTTGAAAGTTTAGAAATAAAAAATATAATACTTATTTTATTAAACTATTTAATTTTTATAAAAAATTGCATATCTTGTACTAATCTTGTTTCGTCAAGCCTCAAACAAAGTGAAGTTGACCGGTAACCTTGGTAACCTTGCTAAATATGCATGACCAAACTATTATGGATGTTGGGTGCTTCGCTGTCCTCACAATACATTCTAATTTTTGATGTTCTTTTAGTTTGCAATAAACAAGTTTGGCTTTGCTTTCCAAAATCTCAAAGGTAGATTTATTGCTGAACACAACCTGAACAAATCAATCAATATTGATTGATTTATTCAGGTTGTATTCATATATGTAAGTAAAGCTCAAAATACAAGTCAAATCAATGAATATGATATCAGTCAATGCAACCATTGTTTATTGACTCACAATACTAGAGTAATATTTGTATATGCATCTGGAGAAAAATAAAATCAAATTTACTTAACTCCAGTCATCTTAAGATATTTTATTATATTCAATAACTTTTTTTAATGTTTTATCTCTTGCAATAATTTTTCAGACCAGAGGTGGCTCTTTCTTTGCGCTTCCAAGTCAACCTTGAATTTGAGTCGAGGAAATGTTGCTAATTGAAGCAATACTCTTTTTGACATTTATTGCAGAAAAAAAGATATTTTATCTAATTTGCGTGGGCAAATATTACTTACTTTACCCATCTTTTTTTTTTATTAACTCTCAACAAACTGCAACATTCAATAAATTACCATATGACTGTGTTAATAGAAAAAAAAAAAAAAACAGTTGTAAATACAGTGTGCTATAATACAGGTCTCTAAAAATGAAATTTGAGTTACTTCTAACTGGAATATTTTTAGTATATATTATTAAAATTTGTCTAACTTTTATAAATTTGTTTATTTAAAATTTTTTAGTTTATTTGAAATTTTATAGTTTATAGTTTATTTAATATAGTTTTTAGTTTATTTAAAACTAAATTTTATATAAAACTTTTTTGATTTTATTTTAAAGTTCTTATATTAAAACAAAAAACATGTGTCAGGAATTAAAAATACATGTAAATAATAAAAAGTTAACAGCTATATTTTGTACCAACCCCCCCTCCCCTCATAAAACAAAAACAAAAAAACAACTATTATTTTGAGTCTAATAATATGACCATACAATATTGCATTTTGTCTATTAACATACAATATTTTGTTTTGACAACTGACAACTTATCCACGGCACTTTGCATGTTTTGATAATTTGCATGTTTTAAAAATGCGCTAAAAAGACCAAACTAAACTGAATGAGAAAATTAAAAATAAACAAACAATAATAAGAGAAACAAAATCTTAACAAATAATAAAAAAATTAAAAGATATAACAATAAAAATAAAAACTTTTGAAATATCAAAAAAAATATTTTTTAATATTCTAAACTTATTAGATAATTTAAAAGCATCTATATAATTGAAAGTTTATTCTATATCACTATGTTAGAGTAGCGCCTAATGTTATATTCAGGTGCGAGTGATAGTTTTATGTTGGATAAGGGTTCAAATCCCTTTAATGGATAATTCTTTTTTAATGTTTTATTTGCTTAGTAGACATTAGAAAATATCAAGTTTGAAATTAATAAAAAATTAGGCTTCGAAGTATTTAAGATTGGAAACAACTTTAAACTAAAATAAAGACATTAATTTTATGCTTTTATTTTTTCTGGTTTATCTTTTATTTATTTTATCATTTGTTAAGATTTTAATTTTTTTAGTTTAAGTTTGTTTTTAATTTTATTTTAAGTTTACATATGCTTATTAAACATACCTTTTTTAAATATGCTAATTTTCAAAACTTATATAGAGCGGTGGCCAAGTTGTCAAAACAAAATATTATATGAATGGTCATATGAAGCATGCGATCACACCCTTCTCCTGCAAAGACTTTGAATAAAGCATACTCAGAGAGCTCTCCATAAAATAGTTAAATTTATATATAAAGAAAAGACTAATATACTACTTAAAGTTCTTTAAGAGATTTTTTAAAAAAGACATTAAAAAAGAATTGAATAATGCACGTAAACCTTAAGTAAACATTGATAAACAATAATTTGAACAAACTGATGATAGGTTTGACTTAATGCAATTATTTAAGTTTAAAATTTTATTTAAACATACATCATTTTCATCTCTTGCCCTATCTGGTTCATTTCCAATTAGATTTTGTGTAACATTAGCAGCCATTTGATCAATATAATCTTTTGCATATGTATCAACATAAAGAGTAATTAAACCATCAGCAACTAAATCATGGATTGTCTCAAACTGCTTTTCTCCTTTAAAAAAAAATTGAGGAAAATTAAAAAAAAAAAGAAAAAAAGAAAGTCAAATGGTTGTTTTGCAAAATACACAAATTTTGTCATATGTACTGTTATAAATTTCATTAGTAAAATGTTTAAAAACTTAAATATAATTATTACAAATCTTAGTTGCATTTTTAAAAACGCATATAAATTTTAAAACTCACCAACAAAATGCATTTTTTCATCTGTATCATAATATAGACGGTAGTTTTTGGGAGCATTATTAAATCTAAAATTATTGCTCTATAATTCTTAAATGAGTAACAAGATTTAATACTTTGATACTGTGAAATTTACAGATTTTTTTGACAGTTGAACAAAAAAAAGAACAAACCTAAATGTGAGTGCATATGTTCCAGGAAGTCGTTCACTCTCTCTTGTTAAATAACAGCCTTCATCTTTCATAACTAGTTTTTCAGCTTCCTCTCTTGAGATAGCTCCATGAAATCTTTTAAAATTACAAACTTTATATTTAATTATACATACATACATATATATATTATTAATATGTATGTATGTATATATGTATAAATAATAAATAAATATAATATATATTATATTTACTTATATATATATATATATATACATATATATATATATATATATATATATATATATATATATATATATATATATATATATATATATATATATATATATATATATATATATATATATATATATATATATATATATATATATATATAAAAGGTTAGATGAGAAAAAACAAGTTTTTTACGGTACTTAAAGTTTCATGTTGTTTTCAGCACTCATCAGCCATATATTTAAATCCTTTAAATCTTTAAGTACCGTAAAAAAATTGTTTTTTCTCATCTAACCTTTTATTTATTTATTGATCTATTTTGTGATTATTTCACTTTATATTGACCACTATCAAATCGAAAAAGAGTTGATTATTATCAAATAATCAAAACAACAATAATATATATATATATATATATATATATATATATATATATATATATATATATATATATATATATATATATATATACATATACATTTATATATATATATATATATATATATATATATATATATATATATATATATATTTATATATATATATATATATATATATATATATATATATATATATATATATATATATATTATATATATATTTAAACAATTTAAAATGTATTCTATAAAAAGAGTGCTCAATGTTCTTAAAAGAACAGAGCAATCAGAAATGATTTCTGATGAGTCTTTATTGATGAAACACAGTGTTAAATGAGAAAAAATTTTGCTAAGTGATACTTATACTTATAGTGTAGTTGAAAGAGACTTTTATAGTAAAAAAAGTCTCTTTCGACTACAATTTTTTTACCTTGTCTCTTAAGCTGCATTTTATTGTCGTCGAAATGTCAAAGTAATTAAATAAATGCGGAAGTAAATTAAATTTTTTTTGTTTTTAAAAAAAACCGCAATAATAATGACTAGAAAGTTTTTTTGTTTTTGTTTTATTAAAAAATATTTTTAAAACATGCGTAAGTGTTGCTACATCGACTATCTTATAACCTGCTGCTACAAGGGAGTGTTGCTACATCAACTATCTTATAGCCTGACTTGCAACGGAGTGCTGCTATATCGACTGAGGGTTTGGTTTGGGCAGGCAGTCTATCATCAAAAAAAAAAAATTTTTTTGAAGTTTTTTAACATTTTCTGGTCAGTCTTATTAACGTGCTCTTTAAAACAACAGTTTATGGGAAAAACTTTTTGACTACCATGCAAGACTAAATATATATATATATTTTCTTTTAATTTGGGTGATATCGAAAGATACTATTGAAATTTTTTAATTGGGGTGATATTGATGCTATCATAGATGCTATCGAAAACGGTCTAGAATAACCCCTGGTCAGGGTGTTAGCCAGCCTATATATGTATATATATATATATATATATATATATATATATATATATATATATATATATAATATATATATATATATGTGTGTGTGTGTGTGTGTGTGTGTGTGTGTGTGTGTGTGTGTGTGTGTGTGTGTGTGTGTGTGTGTGTGTTAGGGTGTTAGCCAGCCCAATGGCACTGCATTTAATGTGGAATTCCCTGACCAATGACCCCCCCTTTTTTTTTTTCTTTGAAAGAATAGGACAGTTTTAATAAAAATTCCGAATATTTTGAACTTTAACAATAAATATTCTCAATTTCACTAAAATGCGGTAGAAAATATATTCCAGGCTAATACCCTGTATGTGTGTGTGCGTATATATATATATATATATATATATATATATATATATATATATATATATATATACACATATATACACATACATACATACATATATATATATATGATTGCTCATAGAAAGAACGTTGTTTAGAAATACAAATTTAGTTAATGTGCTGCAAGCGAAGATTTTATTTAAAACGGCATATTGTTTAACAAAATGATTAGACAGTTTACATTTGGTTGTTTAACCTTTACGAGAAATAATCATTTAATTCTCCAGTAGCAGGGTTTATGTTTTTCAATATTTAATTGTAGTATAGTATGAACTATACAAAACTATACAAACATTTCTGTTGCTAATTTAGCACAGCCTTTATTTTTATTATGACAATTTTTTAAAAGCTCTGAATGCTCTCGCAAGTTTTACACCATATTAAAATTACTTCACCTGAATCATCAGTTTGAAATCCGCAGTATTAAAAGCATTTTTCCATTTTTCAATGATAGTTCTGTTAGGCATTATGACTTGTTTTGAGTTTGCTTACTGTTGCATCTGTTACGATTTAATGGAAGCTTTAACTTCAATCAAATTAAAAAAAATTCCTTCTCCGCGTGTGTTCAACATAACTATACCAAGGCTAAACTTTCCTAATATACTTTCTGATCTTAAATGATATTAAAAAAAACCGTAAACATGTAAATAAATTATTTTATTAGTTAAATGGTTTGAACTAATAAAATAAGTTAAAATTAGATTTTATAACTTAATAAAATGATAATTGCGCCTAAAAAAGTGTGAAAACATAAGGCATTTAAAAAGTAACATGTTTTAACCTTTGCTCTGCTTGAATAAATTTGAGAAAAAAAGAAAAATGAATTGAAACAAAATGAATGAATTATTGTATTAGCAAAACATGTCAAACTTGAAAAGCAAGTAATTACAATATTAAAATTTACAAAATAAAATTTAACGAATATTATATATTTTTTACATGTATTTTAATTTGCATGCTGACACTATAAGATATTCAGGTCGGCAGTTGTATGCCGTCCTAAAGCAAAGATAGGTTGGCTTTTGCGTTGGCATTGTCATTATCTTTGCCATTTAATAGACATTATGTATACTAAACCAAATGCTACTAGACATTAAAAGCAATTGTCAAAATATGAATGGAATGTGTCAAATGGAATCTGTAAATCTTTTTAATCTTTTAGAGTTTGTAAATGTAAGTTATTTATAAATCATAGCAGCTAAGAACTTTTTTTTAAATATATTTTTTCTTTAATATATAATTATTTCGATATTTCGCTGATCTATTGTGATCAGCGTCATCAGGTATGATAAAAATTTGTGAGGCTATTGTGACGCTGATCACAATAGATCAGCAAAATATTGAAATAGTTATATATTAAAGAAAATATATATATATATTTAAAAAAAGGTTTATACGCAGCCATATTTATTGAACTCTAACCATATATATTTATATATATATTTAAATAACATTAACAGCACTTTTAAAATGTTTATTATACATGTTTCGAACTACATAGTTCATCATCAGTAAAATTTACAAAAATCATTAAAAAGCTGTTTTTATAAGGGATACAAATTAATTACTTCATTACAATTTTATACAAAATTATATACAATCAAAGTGGACACTCCATAGCATTTTTTGTATAAAATTTTTGTTGTTACTTTTTTGTTGTTGTTACATCAGATGATCGCTATTGCGTGAAACTTTTAGTTATGTAATTGACATATATCTTAATAATTATTTAGTTTTCACTATATTATTTGCTCTACCATGATATAACACGCTCTATTGAGCACTCTTACTGGAAATATCAACACAATTTCTACTATATATATTTACTATACCATATTTATGTAACAAATTGTTACCATATTTTTGTTACATTAATTGAATATGAATTTTAAGGAGATAAAACAAACTATAACTGTAAATTCAATTACTTACTCTTTTCCATATATTGAGGGCCTGTTTTCAAGAATCTAAAAAAAAAAGTCTTGTAGTCTATAAAACAGCCACAAAAGATACTTGTTTTAATTAACACAAAACAACAACAATAGGTACTTTTCTTAATTATCACAAAACAACAAAAGATATTTGTCTTAGTTAATACAAAACAACAAAAGATAATTTAAAAATTTTTAAAGTTTGGAAAACATTTCTCATAGAATCTTGTGCAATATTTTAATTTTCAAAAAAGCTAATACATTATTTAGGTTGATAACTTCTATTTTTAATCCTAATTTCTAAATAAAATTGAAACAAACAAAAAAGTATAAAATAGATGCTAATGAAATTATTATTCATTTTTGCTGCTTAATCTATATTTTTATCATCAAATCTAATAGTAGATGAATAAAATGTTCTCAACAACTCTGACTTTTAAAGCTTTTTCTCGTTGTCAATTAAGCCTTGCTTGATCGATTGACTTACAAAAGTTTTTGAACCTAAGCTTCTTTAACATCCATTAAAAAAAAAATCTATAATACTTATCATATTTATAAAGTTTGAGTATTAACTACCAGACTTGCAAAACATAACTCAGAAAATTTTTCAATTAATCAAACAGAGATCAAGCTATAAAAAAAGGTCCAAAATTCATTAAAAAAATTTATCTAAAAAAAAAATTCTGATTTAAAAATGGCGACCAAGGAAAGTAAATTTTGAACATTAAAATATTTTTTTACTAAAAACTACCACTCCTCTGTTTAGTATCTTCCTTATGGTAAACTGCAAGAATATTTATGAATAGATATTATGATTTTTTTTTATCTGCTGCAATAATTTAAAAAAAATATATATATATATATATTTATATATATATATATATATATATATATATATATATATATATATATATATATATATATATATATATATATATATATATATATATATATATATATATATACATAATATATATATATATATATATATATAATAATAATAATAATAATAATATATATATATATACATAATATATATATATATATATATATATATATATATATATATATATATATATATATATATATATATATATATATATATATATATATATATATATATATATATATATATATATATATAATATAATTTGTTTTTCAAAAGGATCATGAATGACTGAAGTAAAAGAACATTAAAAAGAATGCATAAGTTCTTTTTAAAATCATTTGATTCAAATTATGAAAACTTTTTTAATGGCATTTGTACTAAATATAGAAAAGCATTATAAAAACTTGAAAAAGGAGATAAAAACATTAATCTGAGTAAACTGTTTGACTCAAAAGTCAAATGATTTACTCAGATGAGTATTTTTCAGCAGTTTTGAACATTCTCCAACTTTAAATTGATAGACCATGTAGCTTCAACAAGCTGGTATTCTTACTAGAAACCAGTCATTCTGTTTTTAGAACAATAAAAATATGTAAAAGGTGCAGGGTTGACATTGGGCAAGGATTACACCACCCTTGCACTCTCACAATGAGAAGAGAAAGTTTAACAGAAGATTTGATAAAGGTAGGGGAAACCTTTTATTCTTGATTTAATATTTTAATAAACTAAAATTTAGAAACTTAAAATATTTGAAATATAAAAACTGAAAACCTGAATGTAAATTTCTTTTCAAGATACAAGAGGTGTCAAACTTCAATGCTCAAAAGTATTAGAAAGAAAACTTAAGGAGCCTGAAACTAAAATCAAGATTGCAGTCAAAGGTAAAGCACTTGCCGTTGAACAATCAAAAAGCTCTGCAAAAGCGCTTTTTCCAGTTGAAAAATACAATTTTGTAAATAAATAAATTAAAAACACTTGTAGACTTAGAAAGAGACAGGAACTTACAAGAGACAGGAACTTACAAAGGACAGGAACTTACAAGAGACAGGAACTTACAAGGGACAGGAACTTACAAGAGACAGGAACTTACAAGGGACAGGAACTTACAAGGGACAGGAAGCCTTGAAAGAAGTTCTTAAATATTTAGAAACTAGAAGAAAAAAAAGAAATTTTGAAAAGAGAGAAATTAAATTAAGAAGGTTTTTGATGTAACAGAAATAATTTTCAAAAAAGACCCCAGACAATTGGTTTATTGTAAAAACATGAACTTGTTAACGCAATAATTAAGGAGAGAAAATTGTCAAAGGTGTTACATTTTAAACCCTCGAAATAAGGGTCAGCATTATAGCAATGGTGACCTAACTGCTGACCTTAAATATTGCTGAAGGTTAGCAATTTATTGGCAACCTCATTTTTCCTTATAGGCATTGAAAAATACAAAGATGGTGGTGTAAACCAAATGTTTATGATTGGTTTGACAGAAAATGTAGTTAAATCTCATTTAAATCTTAATTAATCACCTTTTTAAAGCTAAATATTTTTGTGCCAGTTACACATCTGATTTTTTTCGGATGTAACAACATTCGCCAAAAAAAATTATTATAATGCATTATTTTAAGCATAAAATTTTTTTTTTTTCTAATTATTTGATAGACTGCCTGTCTAAACCAAACCCTCAGTCGGTGTAGCAGCACTCCGTTGCAAGTCAGGTTATTTGTCAGTCAATGTAGCAGCACTTCGTTACGAGTCAGGCTATTTATCAATCAATGTAGCAGCACTTTAATAATATAATAATTATATATGTAACTTATATATGTAACTAGATCCGGACATTTTTTTTAATAATGCATTATTTTAACCAGATGTAGTTAGATATCTGATTTTTTTCAGATGCATCCGGGGAAAAAATAATTTAAAAATGCATCATTTTAATCAGATGTAATTACATATCTGATTTTTTTTTTGATGTAACTTTGTCTGAAAACCATTCTCTAATTGAAAAACAGTTGAATATATACTAAAAGACCAGTTTGAAGTAAACTCCAGATATATATTGTTACACAAATACAAACAATATGTATAAAAAAAAAATCACGGTGATCAGAGTTTGAAAACAACATTACCTTAAAATTAGGGTCCAAAGGTCAAAATATTTGTATGGGGAGGGGGAAATAATAGCATTAAAAAAACTCTACAATTATGAATTCGATTAAAAATCATCTGTAAAATTCTCATTCAGCAAATAAATATTTTAATGTGCAAAAGTTATGACTTTGTAAAATTGAGAACTCCCTCAAATGTTTCGTATTTTAAACAAGGGGTTTCAAAAGACTTGGTTGACATTTTTAAATGATGAGAAATTTTATTAGATAAATAGATATTTTTTCAATGAATTTTATTCTGTTTTAAGATACTACAAAAAAAAAAAAAATTTTTTTTCTATATATTCTGCATTTGGAATAGTGGGTCCTGACTTTTCAGGTGTATATTGTTCCCAGGCTCTGATCACTGTAATATTTTGTAAAACATTCTTATTTGATATCAGTATCAATATTTACAAAGTTCAAAATTGCACAATCTCTGGAAGTTACCTATCTTGAACACCAAAAATCCATGACCAACCGTTCAACCCCTTTTTTTTTAAAAAAAACGTTGACAAAACATTTTTAAAATTTAGGTTATAATTGTATTATGGTTTTAAAAATACAAACTGTTTTTGGTGGACATTTTTTTTCAAATAAACCATTTCTGCTATGTTGTGGGAAATGTAGATAAAAATTAAAACAAACAAAAGATGATTTCTAAGATAGATTTTCAAAAGTAAAAATAAACAGTCAAAAATAATTTTTAAAAATGCTATTCTACTTACTGTATTACATACTATTCTTTTTGGCTTTGGAGCCTTCAGCTGCATTTGATACACTGAACAATATAAAACAAATTACAACTTCAGATATTTAGAAGAAAAAAAATTGAACTCCATCAGTTTACCCATGAGAAAATAAATTTATTTTAATATTTAATGAAGTTTAAAAAGGACTTACAGTGTGATTTCCATACTGGCTCAACTTGATTTAAAGGCTTCTCTAAAATCAGCAAAAATAGTAAAAAAACAAATATGCTCTAGTTAATACATGATATGTTATAAATTAAATTTTAAAAATATTGAAAAAAAGGATTGAAAATTTATTGATTATTTTATACTTTTTATTGTATAGACTAGCTTCCTGATTATAAACTGTGACTAGAAAAAATCTCAGATATTTATAAAAATATTTTTCTTCATACTTATGAAGAAAAATTTTCATTAAATTTTTCTTCATGAGTACATTTATATATATATATTTATAGGCCTTGTTATGAGATTTTGTTGCATAATGGAAAAGCCTAATGCAAGTAAATGTAACTTTACTCAATATACATATTTATATAATTAAAAGTTAAATTATGTCACTTGCTTATACCACATTTTAATTAAGATTATTTTGAATCAAATTAAAAACCATTTAAAGTCTAAATATCTTTAAATTAAACAATTTTGTTAGAAAAAAAATTATCAATGAAATTTAAATATGCTGTTTGAAAAAAAGAAAAAATTCCTTATTTTAAAAAACTTATACTTTCTATTTATTACTCAAAGCATTCACAACACAACATTATCATCTTATGTTTGCTTTCTCACAATTTAGCTATTTTTTTTTTTAAATGAGGGGGCAATTGTTTATGGGTGAGCAAATCAAAGCAATTTCAAAACTAAGAAAATCATCTCTATAAATTTGCCAAAAAAAACAATAAAATGCTAAAAAACAAAACAAAAAAAAAACCCAGCTTTTTTTACCCAAAAAAATGCAAAAGGAAAAAAAAACAATTTTTTGAAACACTATATACACGGATAGTGTATCTAAGGACACAATTTCCTAGTACAATTTGTAGGCTATAATTATTCAGAAAAAAAGTCAATTTTTGCATGTTTTACCTAGGTAGTCAGTTGATGTATATACTGAAGCCCTCATAGCGACCTATTTTAGTATGATATCATCAGTGTGCATCTAATGCTGCATTCAAATATGTGTAAATATATATATATATATATATATATATATATATATATATATATATATATATATATATATATATATATATATATATATAAATATATATATATATATATATATATATATATATATATATATATATATATATATATATATATATATATATATATATATATATATAACTTCTTTAATACTATTTTAAATATTTGCTATTTATTTTATGATAATAAAACTGTTTGGAATAAATATATAATACATAAATTGTTATAAATATTATAATATTTTCTGTAACAAATATATATTTATTAAATCCTATAAATCTCACCATTTTGAAACTTTTCATTAGCATTTGGTATCAATGGCTTTTCAGGGGGCAACATACTATGTTGTTTATTTCTTGTTGAACCCCTGCGCAAAGAGCGCCTAACAAAGCTTGAAATATTACTAAAACCATTTGATTTATCATTTTCTTCTATCATCTTTAAAAAATATGAATTTAAATAGGAAATTTAAAGTCTAACAAACTAAATTTAACATAATGCATGTAATTGAATTTACCTAATGTGCCAGTATTATCTGCATGTCTTTCAAGGATTAAAAAATAGCACTTTTAAATGTTTTTGAATTGAATACAGGAAGCACAAAAAAATTTTTTTTTTTTTTATTCATTTAGATCTATTTTAATTATCTGTGTGTGTTTTTTTCAATATTATTTTAACCAAATGTTTTCATTTTTATTAATTATATTTTCTACTTAAATTTAATAGTTTATATATTAAAAAATAAACTTTTGAAAAAAATTATGATACATTATATTGCAATCTAATGGAAGACAATCTTCAGTTTGTTTGCCAATATTGTCAATATTGACATTACATATAGTAAACCTTAAGCAGTTTATTTCCCATATTTTCTCAGTAAACAAATAAAATACTTCAAAACATTTGTAATAGCTATAAATAAATTTACATTAAAAAAAAAAGGAAAAATATTTATGATTGTGTTATTTTTGAAAATACAACTAATAAAAAAAAAATCTATCGTGAATTGCTCATCAAACAACAATAACAAATAAAAGCTAATCCAAAACGAAATATAACATGTAGCAATATTAATCTTTTACAGCAATTATTGTATTTGTGTTAATAAAGAAAATAAAACATTGAGAAAAAATCAAAATAAGAGATTTATGGCATAACAAAAAATTCGATGTTTATACAAATATTCATACACATGCTTTTGTAATTGTGAAAAAAAAAAAGTCAAAAAAAGTAAACAAGGTCAATCAGGTAAATAAAACTTAAAATATGATTGGTTATTTAATGAAGATTAACTTCTAATAATATAATTTTTTATTGTTTAAAAATTAACTTAAAAAACTATTATCATAAAAAGATACATTCATGTGATTTTTCTTTTGTTCATTTAAAAAATGTAAAAATATTATAAAGAAAAAATAATGAAAGCATAAAAAAACATGAAAGTGATAATATTATGTTTGCAGTTTTACAATACAAACATGTGCACTAATTTGAATCCAAAAAATTAATTCTTTAATAAAACATTAAAAAAAACTTCTTAAAGCTAATTAAAAATTGCAAATTAAATTTCTATTAAAAAAACCACAAACATTATTTATGCAATTGTTTAGAATTCAATGATTATCAAACCATTTATTAAAAATTATTTATAACTTTTTTTTATTATAAATATTACCAAAAAACTATTTAAACAAGTTTTTTTTTTGCAAATTATTTACTCTGATTTGTTCTCTGTTGATTAAGTTTTTACATTCGATTGAATAGCTAATATTTTTAATTAATAACAGTGTTTAAATACTTATTGTCTGACAATATAAGAATATGTTAACATGTAATAACATGTAACCTTGAGGATTATCAAATAGTAACTTATTAAAAACATCATTTTTTATTTTATGACATTTTAAATAAAAAATACTACTTTTCTACTTAAAAAAAAAAGGGTTAATAAAAAATAAAATTTTATTAGAATTACTTATACTATCTAACTTTATATACATAATTGATATATATATATATATATATATATATATATATATAATATATATATATATATATATATATATATATATATATATATATATATATATTTATATATATATAATTGATATACTTTGGAAATCTCTTGTACAATACAACCATCACTAATCTCTTATTTTTTGTAAATTACTTTAATTATTTACTTATTTTAAAAGTATTAGAGAAAGAATAGCTGAGCTTGAAAAATAGAGGAAAAAGCTGTTTATCACAGATATACATGTAATAGCATCTGTGTAAAGAATTGGAATTGTTTCAGAAATAAATAAAAAAAAAGAGGTTTAGCTCTTACATGTAATCCATACAAATGTCAATGAAAATTGATAAAAAAATTACTTTGAAAGACACAACAAAATTTTTGGAAAGTAGAAGATGAAGTAGCTCTGCAACAGTCATAGCAAGAAATGCCACATTTTTGGTTCATCAGAGAAAACATTACATCAAAACTATTTTCTAATAGTTTTAGATACAAAACAAAAAAAAAGAAAAAAGAAATGCAAATGGTAACATAAGAACTGAAAAAAAGGTTTGGCTTCAGAACTTACTATAGAATATAATCCTAAAAAAGATCCATAACACATTCTACTTAACTTAAAAATATAAAATTCCTGTACTTATTTCCAGAACCATTCCAAAAGACTTGACATCAGTAGCCTAAATTTTAACTTATAATATTAAAATTATAACTATTGTTTCATTCATCAATTTCAAATTTGTATACATCTTATACCATACAGTTTCATTGATGATTTCATTTCAAATTTTTTTCCTTCAATATAAATTTGAAAATTTTTTTTGTAATGTTGGAAATGAAATTATGTATTTAACTAAATACTTTTGAATCAAGATATCAATCATAGACTTAATAAAACAAAAAATATAATTTATATTATATCATTATTTGTTGGTTGAACAAATAAATATTTTTCTACAACGAAACATTTTTCAAAAAGCTGAAAAATATCTGTAATGATACTTGAAGAAATATTTCATATTTCAAATATTTTGTGGAAGAAACATCTTTCAAAATGCTTCAGTAAAATGAAAAGGTTTGAATTTGAAGAAAAGAATATCATTTAAAGAATATTACTATGGTAATCACAAATTGATTCAGAGATTACAACTATATTTGTAATGATGCTCTTTATTTTTCAGTCTATTTATTAAAAAGAAAAATATATTTGTATAAAATTTTGTTATGCAATGTTATAACATGAAATTTCTTATAATCATGTTATGAAAAATATATACCTGCAACAATTTGAAATAAAAATCAAAATACAATAGTTTCTAATAAAATTTAACTTTCAATTAAAAAAAAAAAAAAAAAAAAGCTAGAAACCATTTTATTTCAAACCTAATTTAAAGAACTATTAGTGACAAAAGAATTATTTAGTGTAAAATAAGTCACAAATAAAAAAGGCCACTTGTTGATGATAAATTTTGGATCTCGTTTAAAAAAAATATTATTATGTTTAATCAGTTATAGAAAATTCAGTTAAGCAGAAAAACTAACAAACCATTGACAATAGTAATAAATAATAAAATCTAGGTAGTAACTAGTTTTGTGTAGCTCATAAAATTTATGGCCATATCAAATCAACAAACTTTTGTCAAAGTCAAAAGGTTTAAACAAATTTAAACTAAAACTAAAAATTTGGAAAATTATTTAAAATGCAAATTATTCCAAATTTTTAAATGTCAAAATACATTGATTTGAAAACTTTTTATTCCAATATTCTTTTTGTAAAAGCAATTTTTAAATCAATTTGATTTATCTGAAAACAGATGCGAACATAACAGAAAGTTATGAAATATTTTTCTAAATGCTTCAGTTAAATGAAAAGATTTGAATTTCGAAGAAAAGAATGTTATTTAAAGATAATCATAAATTGCTCCATAATAATCTGAACAAACAACATATCAAAGTATGTTTATAAACGTATAACATTTGAAAAAGATATTGAAAGTGGTGTTAAAAATTTTAGTATGTAATTTGAAGATCTCAGAAACATTTTTTTTACCAAATGATGATACTCAAAACTTTGTTATTAATACATAATCAAAAAAAAATAAAATTAATAATTATTAACTTGAAAACAACTATTAATTTGTAATATTGAATTAAGAAATAGAGTAACCTTCTACAACAGATGAGATTTTTTTGAATGCTGGTGTTGATTCATTTATAAGTTCATTTTCTTGAGGAATAGATTGCAGTCTATATTGTCTTGGCATTAGATAAAATTTTCTGAACATAAAATTTATAAAAATAAAATAACATTCTTTAACTAAAAATGAAAAAAAGTACATTTTATACCACATTATAGAATAATATTGTTTAAACATAAATAACAGGGATGCAGAGTCCCAAGAAGGACTCCGGATTTAAAAGTCACAAAAGGATTACTTCTTTCTAGTTTTTGATACCCAGGAGCTTTGAAAATATAAAAAAAAACATCTGGGCTAGTAATGGGGAATAAATCAAGATTTATAGGTCAGAAGAACAATTAACTCTTGAACCCAGAGTCCTTAGGTATAATGGCAGCAAGGACTCTGGGACTCCAGGCTTAAAAACAATAATTTCCAAGTCATTGAATACCATAAATTTTTCTTATAGCAGATCACTAATCAATCAACATGTTTAAAGCTTCTGGACACCAGAGACCATGAAAAAATAAAGTTATAAAATCGGAGTCCTTTTGGGACTCTGATTTTATAACTTTATTTTTTTATAACTTTATTTTGGGACGCATCCCTAATAAATAATAAACAAAAAGTAATTAAATATTAAAAATAACTTGTTATAAATGACTTTTATTTTGCTTTGGATGTTTTAGGTCTCTTAATCAACTTTTATAAATTATTAGCTTCATGGAAAATTATTTTTAAAAAACTCTGGATTTAATTAACCTCTTCCTTTATGAATACTGTCTACGTAGATGTCACAGCAGATACACCATATCTGCATATATATTAATCTAATAAATGTAATGTAATGTTTTGAATGCCTTAATAGTTTACAAGCTCTAATTCTAACACAAAAAGCAAAGTTGTTATTAATGGTAACTTTAATTGTGATTTACAATTTATATCTCCGGGTAATAACCTTTTTGCATTTTGTTTTGATGAACATCTTTTTATAGCTATTAGTTGCCTTTTTCACAATTCTTTTACTTTTACTAGTGAGGCTTGGAGACTACTTTTCTTGGTTTGATCATTATCTTGTTTTAACTTATCCAATTACTTACATTTATTTAAAATTCATCTTTCTTTTTCCTCCACTGCTCAACCAACTTGCACAAGGTGTACCAAAATAAATTTAAATAACTTGTCAACAGATATTATAAAGGAGTACACTTCTACTATGTTCAACACTGTGTCTTCACTCTACATGGATGAGTTTAAGGTAGTTAATTATAAAAATATTCATTGTAGTACACAAGAATTAATTGCTTGTTAAAAATATCCAATGACTGCCTGGCTCAATCAATTATTATATTTTATTTTAATAACTGCATATATTTAAAATAGTGAGGGACAACTATAAACAGTTATAAACTGATGAGGCATAAGGACCTGTGATGGTATAAAGCAATTATTAAAAAAAAAATTACATCTATATTCTTACAATATACAAATACACAATTAGAATGTTTTATAATAAGCTTTTTTTGTTACTTTTAGCATAAATTAACCGTTTCCTGTTTTGCTCAGAAATGCTATTGTGTTTACTGCCGATTACTCCTCCCCTCAAAGAGTTAACTCTTTCTGATGAACAATTTGTAGCATGTACAGCAAAAAGATTATGTACAACTTTGGATAATAAAGAGAAAATGTTATGCTTTTTCTTCTAGTAGAGAATAGAACAATTTGAAAGTCCGAATGTTTTCTCTTCAGTGTATGCAGTTATTTCAAATTTTAATTGCTGATCTAAAAATTTTTTTCTCTGGATGGGTACAATATTTAGAAACATGTCAATTTTTAGAAACATTTTAATTAATATTCCATTTGTTTCAGATGAGAAATTTGTTCCCGCAAGTTGAATTTCATTGGAAATCATAAATACTTAGAAGCTTCTTCGTGTAGCTTTTTATGGTTATGTTTTAAATGGTTACATGTTTTTTTCAAAGAATTCTTTAACTACTGATTATTTGAAAGTTTTTTTCACACACAAACACAAAAAAGGATCTCACTTCTGCTACAACATGTTTTTTTCAAAGAATTCTTTAACTACTGATTATTTGAAAGTTTTTTTCACACACAAACACAAAAAAGGATCTCACTTCTGCTACAACATGGGGTTACAGTGGCTGGTGAACTTTAATTCTGACAAAACTCGATTTTTTTCAGCTTATTGTTTTGGCAATAATCTAGACCTTCCAATATTTATAAACAGAAAGGTACTCGATGAGTCATCTACCCTTCATCTTCAAGGACTAACTCTTACTTCCATGAAAGATTTTTCATGGAAACCATATATCAAATCAATTGCAAAATTAGCATCTGCTAATGTTGCATCTCTTTATTGTACTCACCACTTTCTTACTCTGGATTCTATTCTTTATCTCTTTAAATCTCAAATCAGTCCTTGTATGGAATACTGTTGCATATCTGGGGCAGATCTTCCAATGTTCTTTCTCTTTTAGACAAGGTTCAACCATTATCACATTATCGTAATGTTGCTTCTCTTTCTCTTTTCTATAAATAATATAATGGGTACTGCTCTAAAGAGCTAGCGTCTCTTGCCCTATCTACTAAAATTCATTCTTGTGTTACTCTATTAAGTCTCATCCTTTTACCGTGACTGCTCCTAAGTGTTCCAAAAATTCTTATTTGTCTAATTTTTTCCTTGAACATCAGTTCTTTGGAATTCCCTTCCTTTATCTTGTTTTTCTGATTTATATAATTTGCAACCTTTTAAGTTATCTGCCAACCATTATCTTGCTCTATAAACTTCATCTTTTCTCTTCCAGTAACTTCCAACTCTAATTCTTACTGTTTACAGCCTTAATGGAAGTTAAGATATTGAATATATATATATATATATATATATATATATATATATATATATATATATATATATATATATATATATATACACATATATATATATATATATATATATATATATATATATATATATATATATATATATATATATATATATATATATATATATATACACATATATATAACCAGTGGGAAATGAGCTAGCAACTAGCTCGCTTTATAGCGATTTTCAAGCAATTTTTTTCTTATTTTATTTTTTCCTAATGTCTTTAACATTTAAAAATTTGATTTTTAGTGTCGAGATAATTATGAGAATAATTGAACTTTAAACATTGCGATTTTGTAGCAATGTGTAGCTAGCTAGGTATTGTAGCTTTTTAGCTAGCTACAAAATATCAACAAATCTATTTCTGGTTGATAGCTACATATCAAAATTTTTTAGATAGCAATTTTATTACGATACGATGCTAGCTACAATAGCCAGTGGTACTTTAGCTTATTAAGCTAGCTGTCCTCGTAGCCAAA